ATTTTATTTAAATCAATATATTTGTACGATATGGCTGAATACCATATATTATTACAATTTTTACATAATAATTGGTACACGATTCCAAAACAATTATGTATTTTAATAATCTATACAATRTAACATAAAATATATTATATTGGCATGCACATTATTGACATTTGAATAACAATTAAAATAAATAAAATTTAAATATAAATAATCTACATTGCGACTCGTATAAAAGCATAGAGTCGGCCTTTGTGCGAATGGTAGCGTACTCTGGTGATCAATTCTGAACTACCAAACTGCCGCGATTTTTGCGTCATATATTTGTACCTAGTACTGCAGTTGTCTGCTACCATTGAAAGATACGAGAGTGGTCGAGTGGTGTCACCTTATCTTCTCTACATCGTGATTCGTGATCCGAGTTCTACGCATATAGTAATATTACTACTGATGTCGGTGATTAATAATTAGTGATAACGCTAATAAGTATTTAAAATTTTTTATTATATGTTTTTGTATTCTTGACTCTTGTATTTGTGATAAATACATTTAACCTGTTAATATTTACTATTTAAACAAATATTTTAGAATTTATTTTTTATTAATTTACTGTATTCAATACTCAACAGTCACTATCTACTCATAACTCAATTATGATTTATATTGAAACAATATAACAATAATTATAAATCATAAAAAAGGCTTTTTTATTTTTATTTAATCCACATTATATAAAAATTTAATGATGTTGATAAAAAAGTAAAAACTATAAATTGTAAACATTCTTTTTTACCGTCTGATTAATTGAATCAGCGATGAAGATATGTACAGTGAAAGTATTTTAAAAAATCAAAAAGGTTTTGATTGGTAATAAAATATTATTGCCTTGTGTATAAAAAAAGAAACATGTCGATCCGAGAAATGGAAATCTCAGACCAAATTTTTTCCTTAAGACAATCAGATATTTGTAGACTTTGTGGACTAAGAAATTCCTCAACGTTCTTGATCTACAGAAAAGTAGATGCCGCTGAATTGACTATTGCAGATTTAATTAACCGTTATTTGCCTATTCAAGTAAATATGAAATAAAATACATCTAATCTTATGGCTAGGATTTTAGATAGTTCAACAAATTGGTTTTATACAAATATAAATTAATTTTTACCAACATGTTTAATGCATAATTTTTAGTAAAGTTATGGAGGCCAGTGCCAATTTCTTAAAATTTCTGCAATTCTATAAAATGTAATTTAATTATTAATTTTAATTCTTTAATGACACTTTAATTATAATATGTTTCCACTAATCTACCACCTGTTATTTATTTACGTAGATTGATGTGGGTTATCTTAGATTTTGTTGATTTTGATAACTATTTTTTTTGTTTTGAAGAAAAAAAACTTTCTACAGGTTGGATTGTACTCTTTATTTTCTTTCTGATAACATTAGGTATACAATGATTTGTAAAAAATAGCTTAAAACAATCTTATTTTAAAAAAATTTTATTTTATATTATCAAATTAGAGATTAAAATATTGAAAAATGGAGTTTAATACTGCAAGTAGAATATTATCCTCTATTAGTTAAATAAAAATTATAAAATTTGGTTAGTTCTACAGAACAAGACCATTATTCCTTGGAGGATATTTTTGAGGACAGCATAATATTGACACTGGGCGCCTTAATAAAAAAAAACTATAGCCTATAGGTAATACAATGCTATGTGGTTATTTTGTTTAGAAAATTGGTTGGCTTCTATCATTAAAAATTCAAACTTTTGATCTTCATTTAAGCCTATTTAACTATAATTTTATAGATTGTTCAGCTAAAATAAAATAAATAATATATTATTTTATTTTTAATTCATTATTGTACATGATAGGTGTCTGATGATGATGAATACCCAAGAGCTATATGTTCAAATTGTAAATGTCAGTTGGATATGTTAGTGAAATTTATCGATGATTTGTTAGATGGTCAAATGTTTCTCAAAAATATTTATAAAATGTACAAGTCCAAACAGCTTTCTTCAGCAGAATATGTACCCGTTGTTGATGAAAGAACCACTAATTTCAAGAATAATATAAACACTAAAAGTAATGATGTGGAATTTGTATGTGAAACTTGTGGCTTAACATTAGCTAACAAAAATGACTTAAAGGCTCATTTGAAAAATCATCATGGTAATTAAACAGAGCTAAATTTCAAATGGTTAATATTGAATATATACAGTAAAATTATCAGTTGTTTCTTTATAGTTACAGAAGAACAACCAAGCCTGAGTAGTATTTCAACAAATAAAGTTGCTGAAAGATTTTCATGTGAACATTGCAAGAAAACTTTTGCCCAAAAAAATGGGCTTAACACTCATTTAAAAACACATAAAGGTAAATAGTTTAATTTTAGCCTGTGTAATGGGCTATGAATTCTACGAAATAATTTTAACAAATAGATTTTTGGCTAATTGATAGTTTTTACCTTATACTATGTATAATCTGTAATCCAAGAATTATTAAAAATCTTTTTAGCTAATCAACAAAGTCACACACTCCTAGATTTCTAGAAAACTATGATTGGTTAGAAGGTTAATTAAAAGTCAATCCTAACACCGTTATTCACATTTTTATGAGAACAATTCTTCACATCAACAAGCCTGAAGTATAGCAGAATCAGATGTACGATAGTTATTGAGATCTGAGCATCTTCACACCACTCTCACAGAGATGACTTGTACACTTTTATGATTTTTAATTAGTTTAAAAAATAAAATAAACCATCATTACAATTTTTATTGCAAAAATAATAATAATTAATTTTTTCAATCACTTATTTAAAAACCACCAATATTTGAATCACCGGTAATTTGCAAACATCTGTTTAGATATAATTTAATTGCCACTAAATAAATATAAGGGCTATATTTCACTTATTCTACTAAATTTGTGCTAATAACAATGGTCAATAGGCAATTCTGTTGTATGGTTAAATATTAAGCTTTAAATAAATGTGAATTATTAAATTTATTTTAGTTTAAACATATTTTTTATCGTTTGTATAGGTGATAAAAAGTATGTATGTAAAGTATGTAAGAAAAGTTATTATCAAAATGGAAACCTACAAGAACACATGCGCATACATACTGGAGAAAAACCATTCAGTTGTGAATATTGTACAGTATCATTTAGAACATCATCTCAGGTTTATAATGATTTACATATAACAAATTTATTTATTTTTGTTTTGTTGTCTAATACTCTAATTTAAGATTATATTTTTAGTTAAAAACTCACATTCGATGTCATAGTGGTGCTAAACCTTACAAATGTTTGGTATGTGAACGATCATTCCCGCATAATAATACTTTAAAAATTCATTTAAGGCGTCATTACAATGATCGACAGTACAACTGTGAATATTGTCCAAAAAAATTTGTTGATCGTACAGCGCTGGTCAGACATTCTCGTACACATACAGGTAACTATATAGGTTTCTTGAAATATCATGTTTAATATTTATTCTCACTTCACAACTTAAAATTATATAAAACTGTTGTAATTAAATTTTGTCTAGGCGAGAAACCTTATTATTGTGATGTGTGTAACAAAGATTTTGCAGCAGTCACAAATTTCAACAAACATAAAAAAGTAAAGTATAAAATAAGTATATTTTCTATCATTAACTAAGTAAAATTAAATTTATCAATAAAAGCAATAAGTGATGCTACAAAATTTGCTTTACTTTTTAAATAAGAACTATTAGAATTTTAATGACAAAATAATTTGTTTTAAAAAAATTTTTTAAACAGATTTAAATTTTGTAAATTTATATCTTTATACACTCAAAACACGCTTAAACATGTTTAAATTTTTTTTTAATTGTATGGTTATATTTTCTATGTTAAAATGTATTTTCTGTGAAACTTTGTGTACAATACATACAAATATATAATCATCTAAAAAAAAATATACAAAATATATATTTATATCATCAAAAATTTATTATAGAGACATATGAAAGATAAAGATTCTACGGTATGGGAGGTGACTACTAAATTCCAAAAAGGCAGTTCAGAAATTGATTATATAAACGCTACAATTATTAACCATAATGATTTGCAGCAATGTGATAGAACAGAGGATTTATTTTTAATTTCCAATCAAGTCAAGGTATGTCAGACTATCTTTTTTATCTAAAATAAGCTATTAATAAAATGTATGTTCTAGGATCTCAACACTGATATACCATCCAATAGTGTTAATAATTTGGATGATCTATTAAACGTCAACACATCCTTCACATCTTTAAACTCTATTAGCTTTAATGAATCTATTTTAGAGTTAGCTGAAAACATTGTACCTTAGAGCTTAATATGATTGTGTATTTCATATTTATATGAACTAAATCAACAATTTTTTGTTTTATGAGATTGAACAAATGTCACTAATTTGTAACATTGCCATCAGTTCTTACTGCCATTAATAAGACTGATGAACACAGATTGTATCAAATTTATAAAATGTATTCTATTTATTTATCTTCGATTAAAATTTTTAAGGTTTTATTTTTATATAAAACTATACTCATTCACTCATTTCATTAGTGCATCTAGTATCTACTATCAGTAAACATGAACATTTTTAAGTATATATTTTGTACACATGTTTCTATTATCTATTATTTTAATTGTGATATGAATGTAACAGGATAATTTAATTATTGTTTCAACTTGCTGTAAAATATATTTATCATTTTATTCAACAATGTGTATTGAAAAAATACCATGTTTAAGTTTTTACTATTTACCCAATTTATTGAATGTTTATCCAGTGATCTTTTTAACATAAAACACTCATTAATTCAAAAACTATTTATGCTTTGAAAATATTTGATTATATTGATTACTTTCTTTGCCTAGACTAAAATATTATTTTTTTTTAAAGCTAATAATATAATAAAATAGTGAAAAATCTAACTTTGATACATGTATTATTATATTATTTTGAAATCTGAGGTTTAATAGACATACACTATAAATTATAATTTATTATTATTAGAGCACCTATAAAGTTATTGATTTTCTATCCTACTTTTGATTTCTCACTTTTTTTAGTTCATTAAAAGCAGATCAATTAAATAATTTATTAAATTATTATCATTTAAATTTCTCAATAAACTATTGTAAACAAATAAACAATAAACATAAATTACCGCATTAAAAATGGATAAAAAAAATGTTTTACAGTCACCTTAATCACATATTCACGTTGCTGTGTCACATTATCAAAACAGCAACTATATAAAACACATACAGGCAATCTTAATAAAGCTTAGCACTTTTAATATTGATCATAATGTCAAATTAGTTAGGTAAGTAATATCACATTACACTTATGGCATAAAGTTACCAAACAGGTAAGTAGTTGTTCAAATACTCCATGTAACATAAGTACATACTACAGAAACTTACTAAAATGTATTCTATTTATTTCCATTCGATTACAATTTTTAAGGTTTTATTTTTATAATAAACTTTACTCATTCACTCATTTCATTAGTGCATCTAGTATCTACTATCAGTAAACATGAATATTTTCAAGTATATATTTTGTATAAGTGCCTACTTTTTATTTTTATTTGATGAATTTTTAAATACAATGTAAAAATGTTTTATTGTTTTATTAACAAAAAAGTAAGTAAAAAATCATTACACAATCATTGTAATTATAAAAAGTGTAAGCAACTTAACTGAAGAAAATTAGGTATATGAAAAAACTTATAAAAAAATATTTATTTGTAATTTATATGATAAAGGGGGTGGGTGGGTGTCTATATATTGTCTTACACCACTAAGTATAATACAATGATACATTCAAACCGCCTCTGGTTGCAGGAACTATAATTTTAGGGGTTAGTTACCTATTTTGTTTAGCTAGAAGTTTTTTGGAGGAAAGGAGGGAATTCTGTCGTGCACATGGACTTTCGTTTCTCATTAGTGTAGTTATTTTTTTTTAAGACCAATGATTAGTTGATTGAAATTTCCGGAGTTTTTTCTAAGTCTTTATGAACTTGACATAAGATAATAGCTAGGTGCCACGTTCAAACCAAGAACACATCTTAAAATAGGTACAATTGAATTTATCATTGATTTGATTAACTTTTAATAGGCACACGAGCTAGTACAGTAGTACGATGGCCATGACTACGAATCATGAGTATTGTTCTCATATGGATTTTTGACATTAATGTCGAATCATAATTTTCTAATTGCCTATATAATACGCCTTAAATTGATCAGTGGGAAATAGCCTAATTATTAATATCTGTAACAAAAATGGTAAATTAATTATAATAAATAAACAACCATTTGTTTACCAAACTGATAATATTTTAGAAAATTTGGACCATTTCTATTTTACAGGGCACCCATTTTTTTGAAATTTTTTTTGGAGGACTTTTTGGGTGAAAAAAACGTAAGTGAAATTAGAATTTGGTGCACAAAGTTATAAAAAAATTATCCATCACTTTAACTATAACCTCTTAAATTTAATATATTAAAACGTATTGGAAACTTTCAAGTGTTTTGAATTAATTTTAATAATGAATAGGAAAATAAAGCGATTAGTACCTACAATGGGTACACAGGTATATATCGCAAGAAGAAACAAATTAAATTCAAATGTGTACCTATTGTGAGTAGATAATGATAACGCAACAATGTCTAGTAGTACCCACCTATATATTACTTAATTATTATTTAGACATACCTAGTTCCTTCAAATTATTATTACTCTTTTTTCAAATGCAGTTAATGCCATCCGACATAATACAGGTACATTATAGTAACACATTATGAATAATATAACAATTAAATTATGGTACCGCTACTTCTTGTAGGTATATTATGTTTATTACGACAACATTAGGAAAGTACGCATAAACTATATTGTGGAGAGGTACCTATTTCCATAGACGGTAGGTAGGGTTCCGTAACAAGTATTATTCGTACGGACGAATAATAATTGTTGACAAAATGCAAATATATATACTAATGAAACAACCCACTAAAAATGTGTAATGTCGTGCATAACAATTAATAATACTTACTATATAATATAATAATATGAATTCATATACGCAATTTGGTTGGAAAAAATATATACATTTTATTTATAATTCTTTTTTTTTGTGATCAAAACTTTCCCGAGTGAGTGGTTATTTTACTTTAAGACCAACAATATAAACTCCCTAAAGTATCTAACATTTTTTTTTTTTTTTATTTACACAATAATATATACAATCTGTACAATTATGCACAATTAGCATATTTGATAAGGGTTACATATAATACATGAGTACATGAATAAGAAGCCACCCACTAATAGCACTTGACACAGTATCTAACATAAATAGGTATTATAAAATAATATAAGCCATACTGTTATACATATAACTGTTTTTTTTTCGATGTACCTATACTACCTACTTAAAGTTTTTTTTACTATTGTTTCATTTTAGCTTAAACAAAGATTTTTATTTTTGTGATTGTTGTAAGATTTCTTTTGAATGAATAAAATGTTTTTAATATGTATCAAATTATACACACAAGCAAATTCCCCGTACCCATAATGTATGTATACAATTACGTATAGGTTAGGTTAGGTTAGGTTAGGTACCTACACATATTATAATTGCCTCTAACTCTTAGTATTTTTAATTTTGTTTCATAGAATATTTATTATTTAAATAATGTGATGTGAGTGATGACACTTCTTTTATATGCATTGTGTGCTCACTGGTTGGTATATTTCTAGTGAGTAGTCACAACTATTAAGTTGAATAGAACAACTATGTTTAGAATTTCTAATGAATACATTTTGTTTCAATACTTATAAAGTCAGTACCTAGTCACTAAAAAAAATCGATGATTACTTTCATGGTTCTTCAATTTTATTGAAAAGTCGGAAAACGTGCAATATATCTCATTTAATACGCATTATATATTGTCCTTGATCAAAAATAACAATACAACTCGTATTAAATTATTGATAAAAGGTCAAATTATTTAATAACATTGTACTATCTATAATAATTACGATGGTTAATAATAATTGTCTAGTAGTTATTATTGTATATTCGTATGTAATTATCTTTTAAGATTTTTTCAATCAATAAAATTCCAATCAAACAACCACTTAATTGGTCATACCATAGTCAGATATTATATTGCACCTATACTATCTTTTTAATATGTAATATGATATATTTTATACTTCTGTTTTAAAATGATTAAAAATATTATATACTATTTATTCAAGGTTTTAGTAGTACYTAAATATTTATCATCTGTATAATATACTTCTGTACAGCACATCCAATTCATTACAGCTTAATCTTTAAACCAAAATTTAAAATCAATATTTAGAATGTCTACAGAATATATTATGTAATCGATTAAATCATGACAATTTATTATGATATATCGGCAGAAGATCCGTCAACCTAAGATTAAAACTACGGCTACAACAGGATATGCTATACTTTCATCCAAAGAAAACACCTCAGATTCAGACACGGATCAGGACATATAATTATCCAAAAATTGTAAAAACTATGTAATACAAATTGTAAATTTATGACATTGTAAAAATACTCGGTGTATTAAAACAATAAAATTAATAAATAAAAAAAATTATGATATATATATACCTCAATTATTCTTATTTCTGAATACGTCATATTTTATAAACTAAAATGTAAAAAGATACATACATTTTGATGACGAATTATAATATATAGTATATATTATATTATGCATATAATATTTCAAAAGTTATAGATTATTATATTTGAAAACATTAAAAATGTGATAAATAAACAGACAATTTTTTTAATTTTACAATTATATTTAATTTGATGAATTCAAGCAGCAATGTAAAAAGGATATTTTAATGGAGGGGAAGGGGGTAAACTTAATGACTGAAAATTAGGTTAAGTGTCAAATTTTTTTTCATTATGATTTTTTTTTTATTGTTTATTATCTATAAAATTGTACACCTAACACAACATATTATTTTATAGTAGGTATTATGAATAGTACCTATATGTGGCTATGTAGTTATTTTTTAAGGTATAGGTATAGATAGATATATAATATGAAACCTACATTATATCGATATATTATTTTTTAGACAATTTTGCGGGACTTATGTAATAAATAATTATGAAATTTAAACTAATAATTTATAAGCTAAAATGTGTAAAATACACATCATATGCTCAGATCCTAAGATTTCGAATATTTCGTCATCAATAGTTTYCTTAAAATAATAAAATCATATTCTCCTTCTTTTAGATTCTATTAGACGAGATACCTCAAGCCGGTAAATTACTGGAGCTTAGATTATTAATTTCATAACAATGTATTTATTACCTAATCATTGCTTTTTACTTTTTACTTTATTTCAGTCATTAGTGATTGCAATGTATATTATGATCTTAGATACCATCGCTGTGAGTTTCCTCAACCATAATATACACGATATAGTGGGCGAACACGCGGTTGCAGTTAAAAAATTAGAAATTCAAAATTCAAATAATAATTAGCTAGAAAAAAAAAAAACAGTGAAAGAGTGAAATAAATAAAATTTAAAAATAACAATTGCGTTTGCGTACCTAA